AAAAAAAAAAAAAAAGAGTAAACAGCGGTCTACGTGGCCTTCGAGGTGGGAGAAGGTTCCCAGAAAGAGACTTTCGGCCTTGTAGGCCACCATCACAGGAACTTAGAAAGAATGGAAAGGCTGTGTCAAAGGGACTCCTGTCTGGGTGTCAGGGATAGGGCAATGCTCAGCGGACACGGCCCCTTCCCTCCTGCTGCCTCTACAGAGAGCATAGCTGTCCCAAAGCGTGGTGGAGCAAGCACTCTGGTACAAAAACAAAAAAGAGAATGTAAAACACACAGGCAGGAGCAGCCTCAAGCAAGGCTGGACTCTGGTCCTGGTGGTCCAGAGGGCCCCTCTGTGTCCAGCGGCTGTGTCCAGCGGCTGTGTCTAGTGGGACCCAGCGGGGCTGCAGAGCAGAGTCATCAGTGGGGCAGAAATATGGCAGAGAAAAGGGCCCTTTGGTTTTGTGAGGGCCACCGCTCCAGCTGTCTGCATGACACACGTTCCTTGGCCTCTCAGAATCCACCTGGCGTGTGACACAGACAAGCAGTAGTTTGCAGACATACGCACGTACTGGTGGCAGCTAACCTGTGGGCATAGGCAAATACGCAGGGGTGTAGGCGGCATCCCCCACTTCCCCCGGATGTCTCTCTTTCATGTAGTCTCAATCTTCGAGCCTCTCAGCAAGTGGCTCGTGAGGCCAGGACTCAGTGTTACTTTCCTTCCTCCTCCACAGCCGTGAGCAGCTCTCGGGGAGGTGTGCTATGTGGCCCTGAGCCCTGGGTGTCTGGATCCGGCCTTTCCCGAGGTGGTGGAGGTGCCTTCTCCAGCAGCAGCAACAGCATCCGCGCCACTGGGGGGGCCCTGGCTTCCTCGAGCCTGAGGGCTGGCGGGGACCTGCTGAGCTCTGGGGCCAGAGGAGGCTCAATGCTGGTGGGCGATGCCTGCGCCCCCTGCGCCCCCTGCCCACTGCCCGCTGAGGGCGGCTTCAGCAGCTGCAGTGGTGGCCGTGGCAACAGAAGCTCCAGCGTCCGCTTCTCATCCACCAGCACCTCCCGCAGGACCAGGTACTGAGCCCCTGGCACCAGGTGGCCACTGCCTGGAGAGGAGCCTGCTGGACACACCCTGCTTCTGTCCCCTGAGGTCCTGAGGGGTCTCCGGCCATTCTTCCTGCCAGCGCACAACCCTCGCCCATGTGCTCCTGGAGGGCTGTTCGCTGTGGAGACACGCCACCCACAACCCGAGGGGCACCAGCTTCTCCCCCGTTCCCTCAGGCTCCAGCCACAGGAAACTCCTTTTCACAGAGAGCAGTGCGCTGGGGAGGAAGGGACCGCTGGGAGCAAGCGCGAGCAGAGCCCCGGGTCTACAGGCGTCCTCCGCCTGCCACTCCCCTCCCCTGGCAGAAGATGGTTCTTTCTCCCCTCCCTGACCCTAGAGGACACACAGTCCGTGGTGACCCCAGGGACACCTCAGTCCCCATGACGGCTCTCCTCCCAGTGGCTCACCCTGGCCGTTTCTCTTCTGGTTGTTGGTTTGTCTGCGGTGTGGGGGTCTGCCGAGTAGATGGAGCGCACGTGGAGAGGTGATCTTCCTCAGCTCCGTGTGTCTTGTCCCTGTGGTGACATGAGGCCCAGCTCTGTGCCACGCTGTTGCAGCAGGGTTATGTCTGCAAGCTCTGGGAGGCTGGGGTGGGTGGGCGCCTGTTTGTACTACTCTGTGTATTTCTGGGTTTTCAATAAACTTGCCAAGCTAACTTCACGAGAACTCTGCCTGTCATTTAGAGCACGCTGACGAGACAGCCTACTGGAACCCACTAGTTCACCCTAACGAGAGTGTGGCCAGGGCGGGGGCTGGTGGGCAAAGCCCTTCCAGGGAGGGGCTCACAGTCCTGTAAGGCAGAGGTGACAAGGAGTCGACGTTTTAAAAACAAGGGCAATCCTCACTCTCTTCTCCACATCAGATACCGTGTTCCTGACCCCACTGAACGCATCCCACCCCACCTCCAAGCCCCTGAGGTCACCGTGACCATACCCTGTCTCTCTGCCCCCACCCTTGTCTCCATCCACCTTCCTCGGCACAACACTAGCAGAGAAGTCTTTCTCACACAGAAAGCTGATCATGGCTGCCCTGCCTACAGCCTTCCGTGGCTTCCCTCTGCCTCCCAGCATCCCGGTCCTGCGGAATCCGTCCTCAGGCCCCCGCTGCTGGCCTCTCCCTCAGTGCACCCTGCTGATTCTTCCAACCGCCATTCTTCATCCATTCCCTTACTCCTGTGCCTGTTACATGCCTTGTCCTCAAGCAGCGTCCAGCCTAGTCTTTGGAGGTGGGTAGATACGAAATGGGGACTCAACTGTCTGAATGTCGTGCTGAGACTGGTGCGGAAGCCACAGTGTGTAGAGAGGACTACACAGACTTGGGCAATGCCGGCTTCCGCAGGAATGTGGTACCCAGCAGCGACAGACAAAAGGATGGTGAATGAGCCAGCTGCATGGGACAATGAGTCCTGAGAGAGCATCCTAGGGGGACCTGCCTGGAGCTGTGTAGATCGTTATTACAGGTCGAGACACAGCAGCAAATGGAGGCAGAAGTCCCTCAGCTGGGACCCAGCCAGCAGCCAGGCACAGCCAGCTGGGCCCAGATACAGCCACACCCAGCACGGTCATCCTTCTGAGGCAGGAGCATGCCTCCCCAGGCCCTAGCCAGCCACCTGAACACCTGTGTGTCATCCTGCTCAGACTCAGGGCTTACCAGGCCCCTGCCTGCCTTCTGCTGCAGCGTCTCCTGAACGTCCACCTCATGGCTATGTGCGACATCCAACGCATCCCTCGGAGACAGGAACATCAACAGCTGCCCCAGGAGGCCTTGGTGTCTCTCTCAGGCAGGCCAACAGCCACCCCACACCAGTGACCAGTTTATTGCCCCAGCCACAAACTGGCCTCTAACTACCTGCTCTTCAAATGCATCTGGACCCTCCTCACCTGGGCTAGCTGACACATTAAGCCTTGCCAACAGCTATATCTCAATAAGCCTTAATGGAGCTCAGTAACATGGCGCTTCCTTTCCCTTTGCTCGTTCAGCGGCTCTTGCTCAGCTCCTCCAGGGTGGTGCTGGGCTCCTGCAGCAGAGGTGGTGTCTTCAGCATACAGGCAATGTGGCACTTAGAGCCCAGGAGCCCTGTTCAGCCCAAATCTTCCCAGTAATCTTTACCCTCTCTCTTTCCACTCCATCAAAAGAAATCCTGTCATCTTAGTCCTCAAGTGAAACACACAGTCCAGCTGTTTCCCACCACCTCCGTGCCTGGCACTGACGTGCCAGACTGCTAACTCTTGCCTGGATGCCATCAGCTCCTAACTGGTCTCCCGCCGCCTCTGCCTTCCCTGAATCTGTGTTCAAACAGCAGCCAGAGGAACCCTGCGGAAAGCAAGCCAGAGGCTGAGGGTGCGGCTCAGCGGCAGTGTGTTCTCTGGACGAGTAAAAGCTGCATCTTTCCATTCCCAGAGATAAAGAAGACTTTAAAACACATACAATAAGATAAAACGTAACAGTCTGGATAAATTCAAACGTAGCTGTTTGAGTATTCTGAAAAGTAGACAAAGCCAGGCAGAGACCATGGCAGCAGGCAAGGCTTGGAGAAGTGACCAAGTGCTTGTTCTCTCTTCATTCCCGAGGCCGGAGCTGAAGATGGGCCCCAGCTGTGGGGTAGGAGAGCACCAGCTTGGACAGCTGAGAGCCCCATGAAAGGCCTTTCCACCCAAACACAAAACGAAAAGGACTCTTGTGAGTTGGAAAACGCAGATACAAAGCCCCTGATCTGTTCTCTTTTACAGCTTTGCTGTAGGGCTGGGCCCCGAAGGGCTTGGCAAGGCTTTGTGGCAGCGTTGTGGTGAAAACCCTGAGAGGTTTGGTAGCTCTGGCATGAGGAACCAGGAAAAGAGGTTCCCGAGAAGGACGGGTGGGGTCAAGCTGGAAAATTGGAGAAGGAAATGCTTATGTGAGCCCACCCACATCCTGGGCTCGCCTTGAGCTTGTCTGGCATGCAAACCCAGCACATCCCAGGGCTTGGAGATCTGAAGTTAGACTCACTGCTCTGCCCGAATTTCTAGTAAAGCCCCAAGTGACGAGTGACACCACAAAGCAGCCAGCACTGGCGTGGGAAACTGAGCAGGCTTCATCACCACCCCACCTCCCCTCCCCAGGAGAGCTGAAGCATGAAGCCTGAAACTGACAGAGCTGATTCCCACTAAAACCAAACCAAACTAAACCAAACATCCCCAAAGGACCCGGAGTCAACACAGCACCAGCGTTTGTGTGTATGTCTGTGTGAGTGTATCTGTGTCTGTGTATGTGTCTGTGTGTGTGTCTGTGTGTGTGTATCTGTGTGTCTGTGTATCTGTGTGTCTGTATATCTGTGTGTATATGTGTGTCTGTGTGTGTCTGTGTGTGTCTGTGTGTGTGTGTGTGTGTGTGTATGTGTAAAGTCATTCTGATGTTCAAGCAGCCAAGAGAACGTGAGCAGTTCTCACAAAGAGGGAAAGCAGCAGATTCTCGTCACCGATGAACAGTTGTGGGTTTATCACAGAGACTGTAAAGCCCTCCCACACCACACTCTGTAAGGTAAAGAGAAACACATACGAAATAGATGAAAAAGAAGTTCAGGCCTGTAAACTTGACACGCAGAAGGCTGAGGCAGGAAAATTACAAATTACAAATTCAATACGAGGCATCCCTGGGTTACAGAATGAGTTCAAGGACAGCCTGAGCAACTTAGCAAGACCCTGCCTCAAAATGAAAAGCTTAAAGGAGGCTGGGACAAACATCAGGGTTAGGGTACTTGGCCAGGGTGTTCAAGTATTTCCCTAGGTTCAATCCTCAATAAAGAAAGAAGGGGAGAGAGAGGGAAAGAGAGGGAGAGACAGAGTTCTCAGCAGTAGAGAACAAAAAGAGACAAAACCAGGTAGACATTTTAAAACTGAAAAGTTGAAAATTTGAAGAGTAAAAATGGTGATGAAATTCAAAGCAAAAAGAGTGGACAAAGGACAAAAACCAATGTCTTAGGGGCATAATAACAGTCATTATCCACTAGAGACAACAAAGAGAAAAAGAGAAAAGGACCGAAAACTATTAAGCTGAAACTCAATAATTTTCACCACTGTAGATCTCTCATCAGAAGCAGAGGACAGTGGAGCGGTGCTTTGCACATGCCAAGGACTGAACAGGAAAAGAACTTCAAGTGCCTGTTTGTTGGGTTGTGTTCCTGGGTGTGTGGTACCAGAGCTGGAACCAGAACCTGGTGTGGGCTGTGCAAGCCCTCTCCCACTGAGCTGTGTCCGGCCATGCGAACGCAGGACTCCACCACCAACACGCACACCCTGTCAAAGCAAAGGCAGAGAAGCGGAGGAGACAGGCGTGCTGCATGAGAGCGGGGAGGGTCCCTACAGGAGTTCCCACTGCTCCGACCCGGAGGCCTGGGCCCTTCAGAGTGAAGACAAGTGAGGTGGTGGGAAGACCGTGCGATGAGGGAGCGGGGAAAGGGTGACAGAGGTGCCTGAGTAGCTGTGAGAGATGGCCCTGCCCCCCTACAGTCTTCACAATGTGCACAGATGTTGAAAACAAAGTGGCAGCCTCCTCCGGAGACGGCAGGGGACCCAGAGGGGTGATCCATGACAACCTAAGACAAAGGAGACTGGACTGATGACACCTGGCTCCAGCCGGGCGTGCCGGTGCCGGCCTGTAGTCCTAGTGGTAGGAGGTTGAGGAAGTAGGTCTGAGGCTAGCCTGAGCTATACAAACACTTCAAGGGAGACCTAGGCCAGATACAAGGTTTTCCGCCCGCGTGTGCGTGTCTGTGGGTGTGTGGATGTGTGCACACGTGTGTATAAATAAATAAATATATATATTCTAGGTCTAGGTAGAATGAGAAATATTTATTACCCACGTTGCATTGCTAAATAAGTTTAAATAAACTTTGCATTTTTGTTTGTTACGGGGGGTGCACCTGTGGTGGTCAGAGGACCCCTGTGGAGTCTGCTCTCTCCCTAATCTTTACTTGGATTCGGGGGGGGGGGGGGAGTCAG